TCCTCATCTTTCCCCACAAAGTCTCCACACTTAGTTTTAGGGAGTTGTTATGGTACCAACTTATTATTTTGGTATCAAGGACGTCTTGTCGGCTTGATACCCTACCGACTTGCCCTGTTGGTAAGTCACTCTTACCAACTTGCTAACAAGTCTATCCCAACTTGGTACCTTGTTATCTCTCTAGCTTGATACCCCTACTACCAAGCCAACCATGCCAGCCACTCCACCCAAGCCACCTTGTCGGCCTAGTCTTCATACTTAGTTTTTAGAATCTCATCAAGTTGGTACCTTACAACCATACCAGATTGGTACCCCATTCAGAGCCACCAAGCCTGTGCTACCATTTGAACTGACTGAAGAAGTTGACGAACGCAGCTGGGGGTCAGGGGAGTCATCGACCAAGGGAGGGAACGAGGAAATCGATGTCATCGATGAAAGGAGGGGGATCGTCCTCAGCGACATGGTCGGGATCTAGTCGTCCAGAACTCTTCTCCGCACATCCGTAACCTCAATAAGAACACCATTTTTTCAATTGAAGCTCCAGAGATCGAAGATTCGTTGAAATTGGAGAAGTTCAGAGTTGTTGTTGTTGAGTGGAGACCTATTGATTGTGGTTAAGAAGGAGAAGAGCGGTAGCGATGATGGTGCGAAGCTGAAGAAGGTTGTCGATCTGTGGATGGCTACCATCCAGATCTCCCCGTAGTTGGAACAAGCGACATTTTCCTGGGAGCAAAGGACTAAAGAGTCACGAGGAGTAGAGAATTCAAGGTGGCCGACTCCGACGATAGTTTTCGACTTCGCCATGGTTGCGAGCTTTGCAAGGGAGAGACTAGAGATGGCCGGAGGGGAATCAGCTTGGATCAAACCCCCAATTGACGATGGGAAGGTGAACAGGTGGTGTGGGGTTGGGACGATGACAACAGGTTTTTTAATAATTTTTAATAAAAATAAAAGGAAAAAATCCAGACAAGCAAATTAACAATAAAACAAATTCCACATCAGCAAAGAATTTAACAATGTTAATAACACCGTTAAAAGATGTTATAGATAGTCATCGCACATCAGCTCAAATTGCAGATTCCAATCCAAAGTCACTATGATGGGTGTATGGGTGAGCTTCTCCTTTATGGTCTCAAAGGAAGTTGTGCACTCTGGAGAGAACAGAAATGACATATCCTTCTAGAGCAGCTTGGTTTATGGCAAGTCGGTCTTTGAGAAAGTCTTGATGAATCTCCTTTAGAAACCCGCGTGACCAAAAAGTTGCGGATCCCCTTTACTAAGACAAGATGAGGTATCATGCTGATCGTCTCAATCTTGGCTTGATCTATTCAACCATGAAGTGGCACTTCTCCTAGCTCAGTACCAAGTTCGTTTCTTCACATCTCTTCGTGACGAGTTCTAGGTTATGAAGACAGTGAGAGAAGGAGTCTCAATAAGTCGAGAAGTCATCCATGAAGACTTCCATAATCACTCCAACCAGTCGATCGAAGATCGCCATCATACATCTTTGGAAGGTTGCAGGTGCGTTGCAGAGACCAAAGGGAATCCCTCTCCAAAGGCAAAAATCTCGAAAGGGCATGTGAAAGTGGTCTTCGCATGATCCTCCGGTGCTATTGAGATCTGGAAGTATCCGGACATGCCATACAGAAAGGAATAGAACTCTTGTCCCGCCATTCTCTCCACATCTGATCAATGAACGGGAGCGGGAAATGGTCCTTTCTAGTGGTGTCATTCAAGTAGAGGTAGTCAAAGCAGACACACCACATGGTCACTATCTGCATTTGGATCAACTCGTTCTTCTCATTCAAGACAATAGTCATCCCGCCTTTCTTTGGGATCACCTGAGTGGGACTGACCCACTAGTTGTGTGAGATAGCGAAGATGATCTCGACGTCCAATGCAGTCAAAATTGGGATATTGATCATAAAATCATAGGATTTTTAGGATTTTACTTAGGGATTCTGATCCTGATTTTACTATAAAATCGGTGGACCTTAAAATCGTTCAAAATCGGGATTAAAATTATTAAAATCGTACCAAAATCAAGATTTTGATCCTATGTGAATAAAATAGAGAGCTTGAGCCAATTCAAAAGTAGCAGAACTGTTTCGGTAGAAAGGGCAATGTTGTGGATCTTCTCATATATTTTTCTGATTAAAAGAACATTTAAAAAGAAAAAAACTAATTAGGGTTCGGTCAACCCCTTTCCCTTCTCATTGTTTAACTCATCGGTAAAACAATTGTCATAATATTGTAAGCACGTAAGAATTAACATCATTATTAACAAATTATTTGATTAATGAATATATGTGTATCAAACCAATGACATTAATTATCTTATTATTGGAGTTCACTTATTCTTAGTTTTAAATCATGCTTAGTAGACGACGTCGGAATACTACTTTGAGTTAAACTACCTAGACACAACATGAAAAACAAGAGACAAACCCCATAAACTCTATCCCTTCCTCATAAATTATTTTTAGTTACGCATTAAATAACAATTACAATGATAATTTTGGAACATTAATCTTGAAATTTATCACTTTAAATGTTATAAGTCTTTGTGTTTTTAATATTTACCTTATTAATATTATTGTATGTTAATTTCTATATGGTACTTAAAATCCTCTAATGTCGGCGATCTTCCAAGCCAGTGCACACGCATATTAATGGCTTCAACAGGGCCACCTGACTGCTCTTTTGGTCGGGGTTGAGTTCCAAGTTAATGATCTACCAAAGAAGTGCATACTCCAGGTGAGGGAGGGGCTTAAGCTCGAACTCTGGTGGCTTCTCTAGAGATGTGGCAATGCGGGGCGAGGCAGAGATTGGGTTGAACGGCCTGTCACGCCCCTCGATCGCAGCTCCATCTAATGCTACCAATTGCTCCTCCAACTAAAGCTCCTATGATGCCTCTTCTCCAGCGAAAGACAACGCTTAAGATTGTCATAAGTGGAAAAAGTAATTTGTTCTTCTTCTGCCCTCAATATCAACTTTCTATCATTTACATCAATCAGTGCCTTGGTGATGGCAAGAAATGGTCTACCTAAAATTAAAGTCACATCACATCCTCATTAATATCCAATAATCACAAAATCAACAAGATAAGTGAATGACCCGACATTGATAATCAAGTCCTCTACAATTCTCCTAGGATGCATGATATATCTATCAACTAACTGAATACTCATCCTAGTGGCATTGGGTTCACGTAGGTCTAGCTTTTTAAACAGTTTATAGGGAATGACATTTAGGCTACCACCTAAGTCCACCAAGGACTTTCCTATATGCACGAACAACTTCTCTTTGAACTTCTCTTACTCGTGCTCTAGGTGATGGAATAAGAATCTCTTTTAGTGGTCGCTACTCCTTAGCCTTGCCGCATGACAACCCTCTTTTGGATTAGTTTTTCGTGTTTCCCAGTAAAGCTCCTTGTGGTCTTGCCTATAGAAATTGTGCCTATGAGCTTAATTGTGCTTCAAGATTTTGGAATGAAGCTTGATGGTTCCTTTGACCCGCTTTCAAACTAGAGAATTTGGTTGCGGTATTCTCCATGAACTTGTCAATAGTTTCAAACTTCCTAGTAGTGGTTGCCCTAGTAGACCTTGTTGCTGTCTTGCGTCTGCTGCGATGATGGTTTAGACAGTGGCTCTCCGAAGTGGCAAGTTTTGGGTGCGGCCGAGGAGGGAAATAACTTTTATGAACTTGGAGTTAAAGACGACGACGTGCAATAGCTCTACAATCGGTTACTATGTTGGCAGCGGGGGTGGATGCGACGGAGGAGGAAGAGGGGATGAGCAATGGTGGTTTTGGTCTTGTATCTGATGTTGTTGGGAGTTGAGGCGGATTAGCTTTTTGATGTTTTCGAGGGGGTAAATTGCAAGTTTGGTCACTAGAATTACTAAAAAGTGTTACGTTTGGTCACTAAAAATATTTAATTCCATTCGTAGTCACTAAAATTGGTTTATGTAACATCCCGTTCCGGCTAAACCCATATTTCGATCGCTAGAAAGTTCGCGATTTAAAATCGAGCATTTCGACACTATTTCGACGAAAATCGGATTATCAATCGATCGGATAAGTATACGTATTAATTATACATATATATATATATATATATTATATACACTCGGTCCATTTAATTCCACCGACCCATCATTTTCCCATTCCATTTCCTTCTTCCACTTTCCATTTCGGGGCCGAGAGAGACAGAGAGAAGCAGAACGCGCAGGGGAGCTCGGAGAGAAATTACAAAGCTCAAATTCTTGAGCACTACTGATCCAAAAATCCCGTAAGTAATGCCTAATTCATCTATTCATCGTGATTTATCGATTTAGAGCTTTAAAACGAGTTTTTGGTTCAGGAATTTCTTGAATTCCCGATAAGCCAAATTAGGGTTTCGGAGTATCCGGAAGCCGGATTGAGCCCAAATTTCATATACGAGCTTCCTGCAGCGAGGTAATCAATCCTCTAGTTCTAATCCATGAATTTCGGCTACTATTTAGGTCGGAGCCGGGATCGCTGAATTTAGCTCCGGCCAGGATTTGATGTGTTTTTATCGAGATTTTGACCCGGAGCCTAGAACTAATATTGACGGGGATACTGCAGGGGATATTAGGACGGTCTCGGATTTTAATTCGGGGTTCGTTCGTGAAATTGACGTTTTAGTACGGGAAGGTTAAACCGGTGTTTAAACGACCATAACTGGTGAGGGATTAGCACGGCATACCGGGTTTGTCGTATCACGATAATTATATTGATGCTTAGAATTGACCTAGGTGAATTAGAATGGCATGATTAGGGGTGTATGGACTTTCATGCTATATGATGAACCATGGATGGTTGTATGATATTATTGACTTGCCCTATCCGATATGGACCTTGTTTATGTTGATGATTGCATACATGTTGCCATTTGTGGCTTAACCGTTGATATGACTTCATGGTTGTTCGATCAGGTGTTTTGACATGATGTGATATTGTGGTTGTATTTGGATGCACAAGTGGGGGAAATAAACTTCCCAGGGTGATATTATGATGTTTAAGGAGGATGACTTGCACGAGGGTTTATCCCGAGGAAGTGCAATTATACGACTCCTGGTTATGTTGAGCCAATTGTGGCCAGGTCAAGAACATGTCCAAGTAATGAATTATGATTAAGCAAGATGAGATATGAATCATGTATAAGGATACCAAATATGAGTGTTTTGGTCTCATGGTCAATTACATAGTAATTAGGGCTCCCCATGCTATTACTCCGTTATGATATGTTATGTCACACCCCTGATGTGGTGTTGACCGTTGATTCATCATGAGATATGACCACACCCAGAGTGGTGTTGAGTCCGATATGACCACACCCATAGTGGTGTCAGGTCCGATATGACTACACCGGCAGTGGTGGGTCCGATATGACCACATCCGACGGGATGTTGGGGTATGTATGACTACATCCGACGGGATGTGGGGTATGTTTCCCGGGAGAGTAATTAGCATGGGAGTAGCCAGGCGCCTATAAGTAAAACATGATAAGATGCATATGCATAAGTCAAGATGGTTGAGTCTTTTGCCTATTGGGATGTCGGATGGCTGAGGTCTGATCCTAGTGCTTTGGCTTGTTTGCTAGATGTATGGTAGGGGTATGCTCTGTTATGAACTCACGATGCTATGATTATCTCACTCAACTATGAGCTGACCCTCTTTTATTCTTTTCCTCTGCTTATGCTATGTGTAAGAAGATCATCATCAGCAGCAGTAGTAAATAGGTGTATAGGTGGGAGCTGAGCAAGAGTTGAAGGCAAGATGAGGTATGTCTTCAACTATTCTGTGCTTGGACTACTACTCGGGATTTTGGCCAGTGATCCACACCTTTTTGTAAAATGTTTTGAGAACGTTTTTCATGTGCATACTAGCTTCTGATGTAGTGTGAGATATCCACAGGTGTGGAAAGTTGATAATATGTGTATATTTGTGTAATTATGTAAGTTGTTACGATTATGGCATGTATCAGTATAGTATGCAGTTGTGTAACATGAAACTGTGACTATGGCTATGAAAAGCCAATGCGTATGGCAGTGAGTGTATATGCTTGTCTATGAATGCATGGATTTTAGATGAATTATTTTGCAGGATTAGATGGAAGAACTGTTAGCCCATTACGCGAGTAATTCATGTCGAAATTTTATTTGGGTAAATTTTGATAATTAATGTAACACCCAAGATTAATTCCGCTGCAATTGTATGAACAATATGATTAGGCAAAACGTATAGGGTAGGGTGTTACAGTTTGGTATCAGAGCTGGTTTGTTTTCTGCATTATGGGTATGTTACTTTCACTCTTGAGGACTGATCACCCTCGAAAGGGGAGGGAGTACTCCATATCTGTACTTGCACTAAACTTTCCTGGATTTGGACCAAAGGTGATGATGTATTGCATAGTCAGTTCCATATGGTCAAACATGATTTTGAGTATTTGAAGTATTCTTGAAAATTTTATGGTTTATGAGATTTATGAAAATATGTGGAGTTTTTGTCTTGTTGTCCAAGTAATGATTTTGAAGAAAGTTTTGTTTCAACCAAGTGAATAACTTGGTTAGACACAAGTGGTGTGTGGATCAAAAGAAGGCCAATGTTTCCTTGTAGTTTGCACAGAAGTACTTTTAGTGTTACTACTAACTGATCGAGAAGCATGGTGCCTAGCTATGTAATGCAGTTGATCTTCGACTATGCTAACATGACGAGTTGTTGTGGTAGAGTTTTAATATGGATATGATTCTTGATGCAGTGGTGACAACCATTTTGTAGGTTGATATAACCTTGTGTTAGTGGCAACCTACTTTGCAGGTTAACAATCTTGCTTAGTAAGCTATGTTTTGAACTTGTTGATGTGCTTATGTTGTGATAGCCCAGTATAGGTTTTCGAAACCTAAACATGGGAACTTGAGGTGTTATGTGTTTAGTTATGTACTTCAGATCTCCTAACCTAAGAGTTAGGTAGTAACAAGATATGTGATAGTATCTGCCAGGAGGAGAACGAGTAGACGCGAGAATTGACTCAAGGTTAGATTTCGGGGACGAAATCTTTTAAGGAGGGGAGAATTGTAACATCCCGTTCCGGCTAAACCCATATTTCGATCGCTAGAAAGTTCGCGATTTAAAATCGAGCATTTCGACACTATTTCGACGAAAATCGGATTATCAATCGATCGGATAAGTATACGTATTAATTATACATATATATATATATATTATATATACACTCGGTCCATTTAATTCCACCGACCCATCATTTTCCCATTCCATTTCCTTCTTCCACTTTCCATTTCGGGGCCGAGAGAGACAGAGAGAAGCAGAACGCGCAGGGGAGCTCGGAGAGAAATTACAAAGCTCAAATTCTTGAGCACTATTGATCCAAAAATCCCGTAAGTAATGCCTAATTCATCTATTCATCGTGATTTATCGATTTAGAGCTTTAAAACGAGTTTTTGGTTCAGGAATTTCTTGAATTCCCGATAAGCCAAATTAGGGTTTCGGAGTATCCGGAAGCCGGATTGAGCCCAAATTTCATATACGAGCTTCCTGCAGCGAGGTAATCAATCCTCTAGTTCTAATCCATGAATTTCGGCTACTATTTAGGTCGGAGCCGGGATCGCTGAATTTAGCTCCGGCCAGGGTTTGATGTGTTTTTATCGAGATTTTGACCCGGAGCCTAGAACTAATATTGACGGGGATACTGCAGGGGATATTAGGACGGTCTCGGATTTTAATTCGGGGTTCGTTCGTGAAATTGACGTTTTAGTACGGGAAGGTTAAACCGGTGTTTAAACGACCAGAACTGGTGAGGGATTAGCACGGCATACCGGGTTTGTCGTATCACGATAATTATATTGATGCTTAGAATTGACCTAGGTGAATTAGAATGGCATGATTAGGGGTGTATTGACTTTCATGCTATATGATGAACCATGGATGGTTGTATGATATTATTGACTTGCCCTATCCGATATGGACCTTGTTTATGTTGATGATTGCATACATGTTGCCATTTGTGGCTTAACCGTTGATATGACTTCATGGTTGTTCGATCAGGTGTTTTGACATGATGTGATATTGTGGTTGTATTTGGATGCACAAGTGGGGGAAATAAACTTCCCAGGGTGATATTATGATGTTTAAGGAGGATGACTTGCACGAGGGTTTATCCCGAGGAAGTGCAATTATACGACTCCTGGTTATGTTGCCAATTGTGGCCAGGTCAAGAACATGTCCAAGTAATGAATTATGATTAAGCAAGATGAGATATGAATCATGTATAAGGATACCAAATATGAGTGTTTTGGTCTCATGGTCAATTACATAGTAATTAGGGCTCCCCATGCTATTACTCCGTTATGATATGTTATGTCACACCCCTGATGTGGTGTTGACCGTTGATTCATCATGAGATATGACCACACCCAGAGTGGTGTTGAGTCCGATATGACCACACCCATAGTGGTGTCAGGTCCGATATGACTGCACCGGCAGTGGTGGGTCCGATATGACCACATCCGACGGGATGTTGGGGTATGTATGACTACATTCGACGGGATGTGGGGTATGTTTCCCGGGAGAGTAATTAGCATGGGAGTAGCCAGGCGCCTATAAGTAAAACATGATAAGATGCATATGCATAAGTCAAGATGGTTGAGTCTTTTGCCTATTGGGATGTCGGATGGCTGAGGTCTGATCCTAGTGCTTTGGCTTGTTTGCTAGATGTATGGTAGGGGTATGCTCTGTTATGAACTCACGATGCTATGATTATCTCACTCAACTATGAGCTGACCCTCTTTTATTCTTTTCCTCTGCTTATGCTATGTGTAAGCAGATCATCATCATCAGCAGTAGTAAATAGGTGTATAGGTGGGAGCTGAGCAAGAGTTGAAGGCAAGATGAGGTATGTCTTCAACTATTCTGTGCTTGGACTACTACTCGGGATTTTGGCCAGTGATCCACACCTTTTTGTAAAATGTTTTGAGAACGTTTTTCATGTGCATACTAGCTTCTGATGTAGTGTGAGATATCCACAGGTGTGGAAAGTTGATAATATGTGTATATTTGTGTAATTATGTAAGTTGTTACGATTATGGCATGTATCAGTATAGTATGCAGTTGTGTAACATGAAACTGTGACTATGGCTATGAAAAGCCAATGCGTATGGCAGTGAGTGTATATGCTTGTCTATGAATGCATGGATTTTAGATGAATTATTTTGCAGGATTAGATGGAAGAACTGTTAGCCCATTACGCGAGTAATTCATGTCAAAATTTTATTTGGGTAAATTTTGATAATTAATGTAACACCCAAGATTAATTCCGCTGCAATTGTATGAACAATATGATTAGGCAAAACGTATAGGGTAGGGTGTTACAGTTTAATAGTTCAAGTTTGGTCACTCTCCGTTAGTCTCCATTAAATTTATCTGATGTGGCAGTCAACTCTTAGAGTTGACCGTTAAATGAGTGATGTAGCAGTTAAAAAATAAATAAATAATAAAAAATAAAAAATTATAATTTCCTCCTCATTTTTCACAATTATTAAAAAAATATAAAATTAAAAATTAATTTTCACACCTTTCTCCACAATTCGATCCCGGCCGACCCCTGCTCCAGCGCAAGCCAATAAAAAATTCCGCCTGTACTCCTACCTCGTCGAGCCCCAGTCGAAGTAGATAGTAATATCCGCCGACCCATAATTCGATCGCCGCCAACCAGGGAATGGATTTGGTTTTTGACTTGAGAGAAGCTGCTTACAGTGTTCGGATCTGGAAAGGCAAGTATACGGGCGATCTTCTTCCAACCCCACCGAGCGAACAACTTATGGATAGGTATTCAGTACTTGTTTTCCATTCATTTTCCATCTACTACTTAAAATATTCACTTCCTTTGGTTCCTTGGTCCAAATCTCAATTATCTCTCTCTCATTTTGTTTTTCCAGCAGGTATTGGACCCATGTGGTGAACTGCAGCAGCTCTACTTCTCCAGGGAGAGATTTACCAGCGACGCCATGGCGTTGATCGGCAGTACGCTGTATCTGGACGTGATGGCGGCGCGGAGGGACGAGAGGAGCTGGGGAGTGCAGAGCGAACCCCTAATTTCGTCTATTGTCCTGGTGAGCTTCCGACCTTCCGCAGCTGAATCGCGCCTTGTTTCTAGTCGAGAACCTCGGGGCTAAACAGCTTCGTCACGATTTTGGGTTCCTACGGAATCGAGGAACCGCAATTATGGGTCGGGACCAGGGGATGGATTTGCTTGTTGTCTCGATAGAAGCGGCTTACATTGTTTGGATCTGGTCGGCGGGGATTGAAATATGGGTCAGTGGTTATTACTATCTCCTTCGATTGAGGCTCGACGAGGATGTTGTACAGGCGGAATTTTTTTGGTGGCTTGCGTCGGAGCAGGTGTCGGCGGGGATCGAATTATGATGGGGAACCGGGGAAGACAAGGAATCCGACGTGAGGGAAGTACAGGGGAGAAAGGTGGGAAAATTAATTTTAATTGTTGTAAAAATGAGTTGGAAATTGTAATTTTTTTTTATTGTCACGTCATTTATTTAACGGTCAACTCTAAGAGTTGACTACCACATTAGATAAATTTAACAGAGACTAACGGAGAGTGACCAAATTTGAACTATTAGACTAATTTTAGTGACCACGAATGTAATTAAATATTTTTAGTGACCAAACATAACACGTTTTAGTAATTCTAGTGACCAAACTTGCAATTTACCCGTTTTCGAGGCCACAACGGCTCTTCAATGGCAAAATCTTTCATTTTGGTGACGAAGCTTGCGTTGCTGCTTCTGTAGGGTTGAAGACGATGGTGGGTTGGCTACGTGCATGGGAGTAGGAGTTGCTACAAGGTATATTGCCTACGGCAGGGGTTTTCTTGGGCTTTAGCAACGATTAAAACCCACGCTAGAAATCCCGCCAGCGGATTTCCCAACCCTTGCAAAACCGCCGCAAATCCGACTGCTGCAAAGTTACGCCTGTGGTCATCTAAACCCCTGGTGTATGTCCATGCAGGGGTCTTGCATTTGTTCTTAACCCCTGACATTTCCCATGCTAAAATCGCTGAAAAACTTTTTGACGACGAATTTGGCGACGATTCTGAAAAGCGTCGCTAAAAGTTGAGAGTGAATTTTCGGCAAATATTTACGTTTCTTATTAGCTGGAAGGTAGATACTTTATAATAACCGTACATTAAAATTCAAATAATTAAGTTCCATTCCAGGTTACATATTACTTATAAAACAAATTAACAGAAGGAAATCCAACAAAAGGTATTTGCTTGACATTTTACAACTCACAATTCACAATAAAATCAAGATTATCATACTTGAACATAGATAAGTTCCAGCAAGATCCACAGTGTAAAAATTCCTTTCCTTCTAAATCACCCCACATCATTTATGCACTGTATGCCCTCTTAACCTGTTACAAAACCAACCAAAATCAATATAAGTCACGTCTTGAACGCAAACGTAGATGACCTTTATTAGAGTCTTGTACGATAGCTTAATGTGATTAGAGCTACACACCCTAATTCTACAAGAAGTGTCTTACCAACCACATTGCCATACAAACACCAACTTTCCCAATCTCTATGATTTGATATGTCCAAATTTCTTTTAAGTTGAAATGGGAAATGAATTTCACTTGGTTCCATTCATTATTCTCCATGGTAAGTGTAAGAAGACTATACCTGAGGCTGGGTGCATGTGCTGGAACTAGCACCTGTGAATTACATAACACCTCAAGAGAACATTTTGCAGCAAGTGCAAGAATTTGTTCGGTTAATTTATCTAGGGGTGTTAGTCGGTGCGGTTTCGGTTTAACCGCACCGAAATATCGGTTAACCGCATTCAAAATTGTCCCAATATCACTAACCGAAACCGAAACCGACAGAGACTTCGGTTAACCGAAAACCGCAAACATCGGTTTCGGTTTTCCCTTGCGGTTAACCGAAACCGCAGGTTCTGGTTCACTTTCTCGGTTTTCGTTCAAAAACCGACCACCCAAAACCAAATTTCAACCACCTTTTTTAATGATTCACCCTCAATTTTGAGTGACCTGCTTTTGTTTCAGCCTCTATAATCACACACCATAAAGTCATCTAAATCAATTGAACATAAAGCCTAAAGTAACCACACAATTCAACCACAACTCCGCAACATAAAGTCTACATGCCCACAATTCAACCACAAGTCACAATCACAACAAGACAGAAATAACAAGTTCATTATCTCCAAATCATCAACCTAAATGATCCGAGGATCTCGCTCCAATTCATCTAGCCCATAGTCATCATTTACTCCAAGATCTTCATCTAGCCCATAGTCATCAACCTAAGGTTCACTCTATCGAGTGCAAAGGGGATTTAGAGAGGGGTGACTTTCGAGTTCTAACTCTTAAAAACATTTGAGACTCTTGATGGAGGGTTGTTTGCAATAGGTGAGAATTGGGATGTTTGGAATTGCAACTTTGATTGGTTTTGAATCTTACAACTTTTTCTCTTAGCCAAAGTAAAAAACCATGTAGTCACACTAGTAGGCGGTTATCGGTTTTCTTATCGGTTAACCGCTAACCGATTAATCGGTTAGCGGTTAACCACTAACCAAAATACTGCTAACCGAAACCGAAATCAATAAGAAAGTAGCGGTTATCGGTTAACCACTAACCGACTTTATCGGTTCGATTATCGGTTAAAATCGATAACCGACTAACCGTTTATCACCCCTAAATTTATCGATCCTTTCTTATTACAATAATATAATTGAAACAATTGACTACTTAAAGCATAAGTTGTATCCACGTTTTACTTAGCAATTTAGCAAGAATCACATACCCGTTGTGTATTTGACCGCCACAGTTTATCCACATCCCCTGTTGTTGTTTTCTGTTCCCGTTTGAGTATATACTTGACAGTTCTTTGTTAAGATATCCTGCAAGGGAATATGATTCATACATAGGTAGTCCAGAAACAGGAACAAATGATCACAAGTAGCAACCTTAGACTTTGATGAAACCAAATCCTGCTTATTAAAATGAAACCCAATTAATCAAATCACTGAACCCACTAGACCCTCTGCTGTGTTATCTACGAAAGTTCCCAAACGCTTAATTACAATTTAAGTGCTACACTCAATATCTTCTTGCATGGGCAACAGCAACACAACTATACTAAAACGACTCTTTGCTATAAGGATGGTGAGGGGTTCCTTACTCTGCCTCCTTGTAAGTCCCTGAAAGTATTGACAAAGTCTACATGGCTTGAATCGAGCTATATCATCAGGAAGCATTCCTGCAATAGCTTTAACTTGGGGATTTGGATCTGGGAAATACTAGTACACCTGATAAACAAGGTAATTTGCAGGGGAAGGGATGTCATCAACATAAACTGCTTCATATGAAAAAAGACCAATTAGCAAGACATCCCTAGAAGAGTTAATTGAATCAATCCAATATTTGCACAATATCACTATGCAAGTAGATACCATATGAGATCCGGCAGGCAGTTCTCTAACGTAAACCAGATAAGATAAAAAAGCAATAACATAAACTGAATGAAGGAAACACTTCTCTCACTTAAACTTGAAGGTTATGAGTTACCAAACAGAAACTAAGTACAAAACACCCACAAAAATCACAATACCAAAGAACAACCTAAACCTGCAGTTATGTGATTATGTCTCATTATTATCAATCAAGGTAAACAAAATGAAAGGAACTATCCTAATTACTGGAGAATACAGACAGAACTATCCTTAGCCCTCTACTATTCTACACCATCTACACGAACTATACTTCCCTTCTTACTAGTGATCAACCAACTACCACACTTACTGAACACAAATACCAACCAAATTAAAAAAACAAAGAAGTCGATGTAAGGAACAACTAACCAAGTTCACCGGAAAAGAAAACTGCCATGTCTTATATGTCACTGCGTCCAACCCAGGAGTTTTGATACCACATCGGCCTTTTTCTGGATATTTGCAGTCTACAACAGAAATGAACTAGTGATTGAGTGCAAAAGACCAGATTTAAGTTCTTCAATATATTTCTCATCTCACTCATGTTTCCTAGATTTAAGTTATTCCCTCTTGGGCTCTCACAATCAAGTTCGTGGAGTTGGTGATTGCAAATAAACTTGGTGGCCATGCTCTGAATGTTAAAATTTGTAATGAAAAACAATCGATCAAATGATATGGTAATATTTTAAGGAGTGCCTGAACTGTAATTTCCATTCACTGAGTTTTGGACATATACACAAGACAAAAAAAAAAGATGTATATGATACCTTTCAATGACGACAGTCTTTGATCAAGAGAGCTGCAATTTAGGAAGCAAAAGTCAATTTAGGTACAACTAATGGAAGTGCATGATATATTGGGTTAGATAGGATGGTAAGGAAAAAATTGCAGCATAGGAGAAAGAAGATCATTGGCACAATTAACACTCCAAATATAGTATAGTTAGCAATGGAGAAGAAGATCGTTGCACAATCAGCAGCTAGCTGCTGCAGCACATATAGTAGAAAGCAGAAATAAAACACACGGTGACCTTGGCTTTCGAACCACATCATAACCTTTTCCCTTACTAGCAAATGAACGCTTGTGGACTGATCTTTCTGTATCAATAAACAAAAAAATTGAAGTCATCAAGTACGCGTCTTTAGAGCCAATTGCTAAGAAAGTCAGAAGCAAGCAGATGATGCAAGTACTCACCGACGACAATGCCGACATTGACAAGAAACCAATTAGAAAGGAAGAGAGCATACGCACGCAGACAAGCATTCAATTAGGAAAGGAATCAATCAATCACCTAAATTGATCACTAGTGCCCTTTTACTCTGTGCTAGCTACCTTCCCCCAACTACTGCATGCTCACTCGAACTCTTTCCTTCTTCTAATACATGAAAAAATGAGAATGAAGAGTCATGGGGGAATTCAGAGGAAGGGTCGTTGTACAAGCAACAGTTGTGTTAAATGTTAAACCAAGTCATAATACCTAAACCAGACCCTTTCTGCTCTCCACTGCCACTTCCACCACTCATGTTTCTCCACTAATGACTCTGATACTTGATCCCCTAAATTACTACGCCATAACAAAGATTAGGCGACTATTGCGAATGATTATGGAAGCTGAGAACAGAGTCACTTCCGGATTGAACTTAAAATCAACTAAATACCTCTCGTGGCCTTGTTCAAGACTTTGACTGGACTTGTTGGCTTCCTCAGCATCTCCACCGCTTCCTTCTCCTGCACAGTATCCATCAATCCCTGAGCCAAAATCCCGCCGTCAGTGTAGATATCCGGGTCGAACAAGTATGCCGACACATCACCCGCCCTGAACTTGGGAGACCTTGCCTTCATAGACTTCTTTAAACCCAAATTAACCGTATAGTACATAGATTATAGAACCATTCATACCACTGTAGCCACGAACCCAAAAATGCACACCAACATGGCTTTAATCGACATGTCTCACAGGGAACCATCGCATGCAATGGCTCCAACTTGGCATTTGCAATAGGAAAAGACTACTACACCTATACAAAACCTATAATTCATCCTCCCTCCATAACGTATGCTTTCACTTGCCTAGGACCGCCACCCACTCTGCTCGTCCCAACGCACAAATCCCCTGAGCGATCTCGCACAAGAACTCAGAGTTACGTACCTTGTCGAGCAACCTGGTGCGCCAGATCTTGAATTGTTCGCAGAGCGATCACGAGATAATGCAGCTGCTCCGATGAGGCTATGAGTTCCCCCGCCGCCGCTAATGAGAAATCGACGAATAAGAACAATTGTCGATGGCGATCGTAAGCGGATCAGGAGGAAATGGTATCGTTCTAAGCAGAACCTTTGATGAATTCTATTCTGGCGCCGATGAATTCCGGCACGCTAGAGAAGAAAATGGCGGTATCTGAATCTAGGGTTGGGGATTTTTTTTCGGGAGAACAAAGTAGTGAAGGAGAAGAGTGGGTTTTTGGCATTTGTCGGGAATTTATATTTTTGTTAATCCAAAATATTCAGCGGTCTCTAAACCCCCGAATCAGACTGCTGGCATAGGTAAAATCCGCACAGATGACGCAAGGGTTATGGTAACCGCTGGCAATAAAGCGGTGCCGTATGTCCATTTATTTGTAGTTGTTGGTGGAGTTGGTGGGGATTGGTTCTCCTTAATACAGTTAAAAGCGCGTTTTTGGGTTAAAGCATTTTGCTAATCTGGAAATTTAAAATCGTAAGATTTAAAAGGTACATTTTGACTACAATTGCATGTGAAAAGAGTGATTCTACTTAGAAGCGCTTTGGTGACCTACAAATATAAAAGCGTAAGGTTTTAATTAAGTTTAGCACAATTTTGCTCCTAGGGTGTTGTTGGTGGAGTCGCCGTAGTTGAAGAGGGAGAAGATCAAGAAAGACTGTAAAATGAACAGGGTTAGGTTAAGTTTCTTCGGGTCAAAATTAGGTTGAGTTGATTTTTATTATGTGATAGGTTTTAATGATGTGGCAGGTCAGGTTTTCAATTTTTTTTTTCTGGTTAAATTATGCTAACTATGCGATTCTATTAACCAGGTGTTCAAAGTTTGGATTAATACGTCGGGCTGCATATATATGTGACAGCAGCTGGACGGTGCACGATACAATGTACTTATAAACCGTAGGAGTAAGGAACATTAAACAGTCAACATCATCATTCATGATGACACAGTACGTAAATGTCCACAAATGTTACAGAGCGCGCAGAGGGAATCTGTAGCTGCAAGCAATGAAAACACCTTATATGTAACTATAGTGACAGTATCGTAATTATATATCATGCAATCTGCTAGTAATCATAATAATTATTCTAACAGCTGAGATTACGGCCCGGTTTGATGCCGAAGCGCTTGCAGTAGTCCTTGTAGTACTGGACGCGAGCAGCGACAGCACGAGGATTCCCGCCGTTGCACTCTCCGCCGTTGATGGCTTTAATGGTGGCTCCAAACCCCTTCTTCAGAACCGGGCGGACGTTTTTCATCCAGAACCACAGCGACACCTGCCAGGAGAGGACACGGTTCTTGGCCACCATCTCAGGATTCTTCAACGTCTTCAACTTCTTTTCGCTACCGAATAGGCCGTAGTTGTAGTTCCACGTCAGCTGCAATGGCCCCCTCCCGTAGTATTTCTTCCCAGCGGCGCACGGCCACTCTTTCGCTCTCCCCAGATCGCAGTATTTCCCTTTATAGATCTCCTCAATGTAGCACAAATCTGCGCATCCACCGTAAATATATTAAAAAACAAATCATTTTGCGGTAATAACAAGTAATTATGATGAACTTAATTACGTCCGGTTTCGCGGGTGACATGGGCGAAGAAGGCAGCAATCTCGCGCTTGGCGGCGGTGGCGTTAAGGAGGTGGCCAAATTTAGGGTAGGACCTGGTGGCGTTGAGGAAATCTTTTCTTCTGTAGAACTTCTTCCCGGCACAGCTTGGAGAAGCCTTGCTTAGTATGCTGTTAAAGAATGCCTTTGTCACCACGCTCTTCACTGGGACACCTAATTCCGATGGTTCATCATCATCATCATCATCGCTTGGCATTTCTATATAGCTGGCCTCGACATCACCAAAATCCACGCTGCTGGGCACGGAGCCGTCCTCCTCGATATCTCCGACGACATTGGTGGTGGTGGTCGGTGTGGCTCCTGACACGCCCAGTGGCAGAGCTATGGCGAGGACAAGGAGGAGGGATAATGTTATTCCTACTAGTGAGAATTTAGCCATGTTAAGATAGTAGAGACTGAATCAGAATGCATGGGATGATTTCATGAGGCTCAGAGTCTGCCAATTTATAGAGTACTCGCCACCCACAAGAACGTAAGTTGGCAGCTGATATTCTACAAGCTATAAATTAGTCTGGCTAGTGACGGTACGTAGACCAAATTGCAAGAAGAAAATGTTTACGACGATGATATCATTTAGAGCTAGCTTCACGGGAGCACCTATATATTGCCATTACTTAATTAATTGAAGCCTGGCTACGCTAGCTGCATGTTTGATCAGCTACTATGACGACAATATGGATTGAAGATGTGCACTACATTATCCAAATAATTAACAAGTACTTTGTCTAGGTTTCCATCCCATTAATTATTTCAAACATGGGATCTATGACTCCATCTATCTAGAGGCTGCCATAGCATCTCTCCATGCTAACTGAAAGTTAACATTTGTCTAATTCTTAATTCGCGACGTTGTTTGAAGCGCAAGGCATCCAGAGCCAACTTGAAGGTTACTACCGTGATCGATGCGGAGCATTTTGGCTTAAGGCATGAGTTCACGGCCTCGTTTGAGAGTTCACGGCCGTGAACTTATCCCCTCTCCTGTTTAAAAGCTAAGCTGCAAGGAGAGAGAAGGGAGAGCCACTTTTTGTGAGCGAAACACTTCTTCTGCATTCTAGAGAGAGAACCAGAACCAAGAGAGAAGGAATTAGGGTGTGGCTTCAAAGGAGGTTTTGGGAAGGTTTCCCCAAGGAAATCCCAGCTCAAGGTTGAAGAAGAGAGGAGGCATCCCCACAAGATGATTCACACCTTCTTCTCCTTTGTTCTTCCCACTTTTTCCATGGAGTAGTCCTCCTCCCACTTGGGTGTAGTGGAACCCTAAACCCTACTATGTAGTTTTCTTGTATGTGGTTTGAATGATTGATATTGGGCAATGTTCAATTTAATGTTTGAGGTATTTTCACCATGGGCAACTTAGGGTTTGTGCATATTTTGTGCTTAGCATCCTAGGGTTGTGCATATTTTGTGCTTAGCATCCTAGGGTTGTGCATAACCGTGCTTAGCACCCCTAAGTTTGTGCATTTAGGTGCTAGTAATCTAATTTGCCAACTTAGCCTAGTTTAGAGAGGAAAATTCCCCTTTTTAAGGGAGACTCAAATGAGTTGGTATTCCTTCCGCTTTCCAAGCCACCTAAACTAGGTCGAGTTAGGGAAATCCTAAATATTGAATCGAACAAATCGATTAATCGTGGTTAAACCATCCGACCTTAGAGTTGAGTGAGGAAGTAAGCCGATTACCGATTGTCTAAACCTAAAGGGTCGCGTGACACGCCCTTTCATCTTCACCTCGGTTTAGCAATCGTGACTGTGGTCCCCGACCCCTTACGCTTTCCTCTGTGGTTCACGATTAACGTGCCCAAGGCAATCGTTCCATCCCACCTAGCATAGTAGCGATTTAGGGGGAAACGAAACCCAAGTGACTTTCCCACAAAAAGAGTTTTCAAACCAAATTACTTTTGTTTTCTTTTATTTCAATTGGCAAACCTTTAAACCAAAGTTTTATGGCTAGATAATGATTTCAACAACCGAAGTAGGGGTAGACGGACCGGCCCGGGTCGATATATAGATACTTGCCCTATACTACACCCGATTAGAGTTTAGAAACTTGGGCTCTAATTGGGGTTTAATTGTAGTGTAGATTCGAGCGAGTCATCTTTGCTTTTGGCAAGACATTCACCTTTTTGGCATCTTTCTCTTGTCAAGTCGACCATGCGGCATCGCTTGGGCAAGCTGGTCTTGTTTTGTCAGCTGCACACTCTATAATGTTGTTGGGAGTATGAGCACCGAGACTTACGAGCTTCATCGACACGTTTGTTTGTACTTTGTTTACCACGACCGTGATCCTTTCACATATCACACAACAGCTTTGCATCTTTTGAGCTCGTACATGAGATTGGAGTTTGTTGGGCAATGGACTTGCCCCTCCGTCCACCATTCATGGCAGACTTGTTCCTCATCGACACTAGTGTGGCAACTCTATGTCGGGTTTGATTGAACTTGCTCCCCTTTTCACTAGGTGGAGTCTTTGGAGACAATTTACACAAAGGAATCTGTTAAATCATGCCAACTTTCATGGCATTTACTTTTTTCACGTGGTCACCACCTCCATCATGAATAGTGTTTGTGGTGACCCTAATTTGATTTTTCCTAGAACAGGAATGTGGCAAAATTATTATCCACTTACTGTGTTGTTTCTCCTTCAATCTACCATGAGATGGTATGGTCAGCCCCCCTAATGTCTTAGATTGAACAACATTGTAACATTTGTCATCTTTCAAGATATCACACTTGTATTTCCTAATTTTCTGAAATTTATTATAAAGACGTTTAAATTTCGTTCTTTGTTGTGGCTTTCGCAAGACAGCTCTAACTTTTCTGTCCTTCAAAACAATAGTGTTCACAAGAGAACCAACATGACATTTGCTAGTTTTTAACGATACTGTTTAAGACACAGGTTTAAATGAATCTTGGTTGACAATACCGGAAACATGTCGATCTATCATCTCAAAAAATTTATCCATGTCTTGTAAGAGAATCACAAGGCTTATTTAAACAGATAAAATAGAGATTTACCTGCTGGTAATACTCCTCTACATATCGACAAAGAGATAGGAGTGCAGCACGTCCATCAGTGCTCGACATGGATTGGACCCACCCCATCTGACTGATATGTCTATCCACCTCGTCTGGCTGACCAACTTCAGTATTGGTCCTTTGCTCGTCCACAAATTCTTGTGGAAGATTACAGTCTTGTTTTCCTCATCGCAGAGCCATTTCATATACACGTGTCCCACTAGGTGTGTGATTCGGGCCTAATTGTACACATTTTACCCCCATTTTTCTTAGGCGTTTGTGGTAATTGTGCTCCTAAAAGGGTGGTTTTACGCTAGGTTTATTGTGTTTTAGCATGTTTCAGGATCTAACAGGTGAAACCAGCTCCGGAGTCAAAAGTTGGACGAAAATGAGCGAAAACCGGGAGAAGAGGTGAAAAATTGGCAGTTCACGGTTTCCCTTGGGAGTTCATAGTCTGCTAAAACCGTGAAAAGGAGGCATGGGCCGTGAACATCAAGGCGTCCAGGGCACTTGCAGAAGTTACTGACGCCAGGCGAGTTCACCGTCACTAAGACCGTGAACTGGAGCTGTTGCCCGTGAACCTGAGCAAGCGAAGCGGTGCCTTTCGACGTCAACCTTGAGTTCACGGACGGGTTCAAGAGTTCACGATCGGGAACTGAGCCCGATCCCTGTTTAAAAGGAGAGCTGAAAGGGAGAGACAGGGAGACCCCAAGAGTGAGAAAGTGTCTTCGTCTTCAGATTTTAGAGAGAGAAAGAACGAACCAAAGAAGAAAGAAGGCAAGGGTTTGCTCCAAGTGATGAATTGGGAATATTCTCCCCAAGAGAAGATCAACAAAATCTCAAAGGAGATTGGAGGCATCACCATGATGGTTTCTATCTCTTTCTCTTGTGTTCTTCCCCTCTCTAGCATGGAGTAGTTTCCTTTTTCACTTGGGTGTTGTGAAACCCTAACTATGTACCATGTAGTTGCTGTGTAGATTGAATGATTGTTTATGGGTGTTGTTTAATTCAATGATTGAGGTATTTTTCATGTTAATTGCGCATGTTTGTGGTTAGCAATCCAATTGGCCATTCTAACCTAGATTAGATGGAACCCCCCCCCCCCCTTCAAGAGAGGCTCAATTGAGTTGGGATTCCTTGGGATTTTTAAGTCACCAATCTAGGTTAATGTAGGGCAAACCTCTATGTTGAATTAAGCAATTTGGTTAAGTGCAATTAAGACGACCAAACCTCGGGTTGAGTGAGAGAGTAAGTCAACCATCGATTGCCTTAACCAATGGTGCGTTTCCTAGCGGTTTGCGATCACCTTGCCCGTAGCAATTAATTCGATTCCACATGCCATGGTAGTAGTTAGGGGGAAACGAAACTCGAGTGATCCTTCTCACAAAGAGCTTTCAAAACCATTTACTTTTGTCGTGTTTTACTTTAATTAGCAAACTTTTCAACCAAAACCGATTTGCTAGATAATGTCTCAAACAATTGAAGTAGGGGTACACGGACCGCCCCGAGTCGATATTTAAACATACTTGCCCTGTATTTCACCCTACTAAGGTTTATACTTGGACCTTAGGCGGGAATTAATTGTGATATTCGGGACGAGTCAAGTTTTTGGCGCCATTGTCGGGGACAACGGTCTATTATCTTGAAAAAGTTGTTTGGTGTTAATCTAACTTTTAATTTCTAGTTGTAAAAGTGTGTGTGCATTGCTTGTGCTAGACTTGGTGTTTTTTTCTAATAGTGTGTAGGGAGGTGCATGACCCGGAGCAATCCGGTACCTTTGATACCACGTGAAGAGGACATAAACCGAACTCTCCGACTCCTAGCATGGGAGAGAGAGCTAGCGGAGGCAAGGAGAAGAGGTGAAGAAAGGGGACAACAATTGGGTCCCGGTGCTAGTGGAGTAGAAGTTGAAAAGGTTGAAGGTGAACCCATCGTTGGAGTATAAATGGCGGGGAACCAAAGAGAAGAGGGAGCAGCCCAAGCTCGTAACCTAAATGATGCGGCGACAGAAGAGGAAGCCCCAAGGACAATGGGATACTATATGGCCCCACGGCCCACGGACATTCAATCCCAATCATACATCCTCCCGTGGCGGCCAACAATTTCGAGATCAAGTCGGCTATAGTGACCATGATACAGAACAATGCTTTGTTCTACGGTCATTCGACCGAGTCACCAAGAGAGCATGTGCAAAGATTCTTGGAGCTCACGGGGAGCTTGAAAATCAATGGCGTGTTGGCTGAAGCGTTGCAACTGAGGCTTTTCCCCTATTCACTTGGGGGAAAAGCACTCCGGTGGCTAAACAACTGCCTGCTTTGTTCAATCACCTCATGGGACGATCTTCTCAACAAATTCATGTCCCGCTACTGCC